CTTGTCCTGTACCTAGCATTCCTGGGATTTGAACAATTATTTTTTATGTAAAGTTTGCTGAAATTTATGGTCTATGAGACTAACTTGTACAGTATGCTACCTAAAGCAATGCACCTACTTTGACCAACACAAGCAATAGATGGGAACCAGTGAGTGTAAAAGACATGGCCCGATTTTTAGGACCGACGATTTTGATGGGCATTTCGAGGTTGCCAAGGATTAGAATGTACTGTACTGGCAAACAGGTAAATTTTGGCATGTACCTTGTTTCACTAATTTTATGACTTCGAAACTATATGAATTGATTTCAAAGAATTTTCATATTTATAACAGTAATGCCATTCCAAAAGACAATCCAGACAGACTAATTAAAGTTAGAACAGTCATGCAATATCTCTCACAGAAATTCAAAACATTATACATTCCTCAGAAAAATTTGAGTTTGGATGACAGCATAATGGCCCGTCTAGCTTTCAAGACTTATAATTCAAATAAACCTGATAAGTATGGAATAAAGCTCTACATGCTAGCTGAATCTCACACTGGTTACATCTATGATTTTGAAGAGTATGCAGGAATTGGGAAGACGACAATTGAAACAGTTATGGACTTGATTGAACCACTGAAGAACAAAGGTTATCATTTATATATGGATAACTACTATAACTTGGTTCAACTGAGCGAATTGCTGCTTGAACAATGGGTATACACCTGTGGTACTATCAGATTGCTGCATGGTGGACCAAAAATCTTCAGGTCCAAGCAAAGGGTAAAATGCCAGTAGATAAAACTATATTCCAACGGAAGGACAATACTTTTATAATTCTGTGGAAAGAAAGGGAGTCGTTTCACTCATCACAACTTGCCACTATGCAGATACACAAGTGGAACAAAGGAAACGAGTACGCAAACCTGACGGAACATCTTCATTGCAACAGGTCACTGAAAAACAAACTAAATGCAATCTGTGACTACAATACACACACATGAAAGGTGTTGATCACTTTGACCAAATGATCAAATATTATCAATTCACACGGATAAGTCACAAGTGGACGAAAAAAAATGATGTTTTACTTTCTGCAAATGGCTATCCATAATGCTTTTGTGTTATACAATTACTACACAACAGATACAAAGAAACTCACATTACTCAATTTCCACGAAGTAGTCATTCAGCCTAAGAATTGGCCTCTGCAAAATGATAACATCCCACATGCTGCTGATGTACATTGCTGCTGCAATAAGAGCACATCTACTGGCGACAATGTTGCAACACCCGGACCATCAGGTGTGAGGCGGCCACTATTTCCTTCACCTCCAGTTATACATTCATCATCTGACTCAGGAGACGAGTCAGAATATTCCTAGTGGTGCTTCTGCTAGGAACTTGTGTCATGCCCTAGTAAAGACACAGAACCGTCTGAGGTGTCGTGTTTGCAAATAGTCTAGTAAAAGGAGGGACACCAGGTATAAGTGCAAGTCATGTGATGTGCCACTGTGTGCTGCACCATGCTACAACAAATACCATTGCAAGAAACAATACTGGGTGGATAAGCAGTAATGCTTGCCCACCACCCACTCCACCTATAAAACATGGATTGAAAATCTTCAGGAAACGTTTTCCTGGAGCAGGTGGAGTGGATAAAACCTAATGCTCAACTCATGTCATGCTCTACAAGCATCATTGGATTGTATGTACAATTTTTTTTTATACATTTTATATTGTGGTTTATACTTTATCTCATCGTATTGGTAATGTTGTTCTTCCAGTTGCCTTATATGCATATATCCATTTAAAGCATTACATTGGAAACAATTTGATACCAAAATGAGTGCTGTAATATGACAATTGATGTTATCAATGGGAAAAAATACTAAACATTTGTGAGCGGGATATTGGGGGTGTAGCCAATAGGTGTTCGCTCACGGGTAACGCATGGCCTGCTTTCGGCTTGGCTGCGGGTGGGGCGTGCCGCAGTTTTGGACATTATATGCATATATTCCTGTAGGGAATTCTATTGCGAATACATTGATACCAAAATGAAAGATCTAGGATGAGAATTGAGGTGACCAAAGTGAAAAGAGTATACACATTTTATTGTTCTTGCACGCTCACAGGTAATACGCGGCCAATTTCTCGGTTTGGTGCAGGTGGTACGCTGGGCATTTGGACTTTATATACATATACTCCTGTAGGGAATTCTATTTCAAACACATTGATACCAAAATGAAAAACCTAGGATGAGAATTGAGGTGACAAAATTAAAAAGAGTATACACTTTTCAGTATTACGCGCGCTCGCGTGGAATGCCCTGGCCCACCTTGGGGTGGTTTGGCGCTCACTCACCCAAAACGCAAAAGTGTTAGAGGGAGCCAGGTGCTGGCTTGTGGACCCCGGTAGGCATAAGGACTCCTGTGACTGATGACTCCAAACTAATACTGTATAGCACAAATTAGTTGGAATAGCTTCAACGAGCCGACGTGGCTCTCCACAGAAAATACACATGAGTACAATATATGAAATAAATGTCTTATTCAAGTAAAATAAAATTTACCTGCACTTAGGAGAATAAACGGTGTATGTAGAAAGTGGTGAGGAAGAGGATATATGTTATTGTTTGGCAGGGGAGTCACATACCATAAAACTTCAGGTAAGGGTGCTTCTGGGGTTCTCTCTCTCTTCTGTCTTTTTCTAACTATCATAGAGATCGTAGATTTAGGCATACAAAACTTGGTAGCAAGAACAAACACACAGCTGCTACTTTTATATTTTGCTGCGAGTTCTTTTCTTTCATCTCTATTGTGGTTGTAAACATTTTTTGGTTTAGCTCTTATCACTAACTTTCTTAGGTGCCATGGTGACTTATTTATGTAATATAAAAAATATCCAAGAAAACACAAGAAAGTTTACAGTGAAGTTTAGTGAGCTTGTGCACTGAATGACAGCTATTGGGAGACTGACTCGTCTCTTACAGATGTTTATGTTTGAGTGCTGAGCAGATGGTTGACTACAGAGTACAAACACAGCTTTTGAGTGCCGAATTGTTCAAGTTGGGAACAATTCGAGTAACAAAGTTCCTCTGTACTTATTTCTATTGTATCCGTGGCTTCAACACTTTAATTTGGAAAAATCCTTGAACACTTACCTTCAAATGCAGGTACAGTATTGTAAGTTTCAATCATGGCTTCTACTAGCAGAAAACCCAAGACTAAGCACTATATGATGACATTTGCGAAGAAAACAAATCAAATAAGATAGGTGAAAGTGGCATCCCGAGGGATGTTGTGTGCATTGAGTACAAAGCGAGCAAGATCTCTCTCTCTTCGATATTATTTTGGCTAAACCTTCAATCTATGACTATATTTTACTGACAGCTGCAAAGTATTAAAGCAACATGCAATAGAAAGGCTGCTTGTAAAACTTAGGTTAATAACATTTATGCAATGTGAAAGTGGTATAGGTAGAAACATGAAGAAATGAAGAAGCTAGTGCAAGTTAGCTGTTCTTGAAGAAAGTACATTCTTGACTAAGGACTATTCATAAGAAACACAGAAACAACTCTGTGGGTCTCATCGAAACTTTATTATGTTTATTATTATTATTATTATTATTTTTACAGTATTATTATTATTAGTAACTCATTATTATGAAACACTGAAAAACTGTGGAAAACACGGCGTATATTTCATACTTGACCCCATGAAAATTGCATGGGTTTTTTTATTTCTTAAAGTATTGAGCTTAGGCTGATCCCAATCAGCTTATGTCCATCCCATACCCCACACTATTTTTCCCTGCAAAGTTGGATGAGGCTAGCCCAAAGTGTCTGGCTTCCAACCTTGAATGGATCGACAGAGAGAAGACAGATTTTCTCTCTCATAGACAGATAGTTTCCTCAGTATAAGTCTAATGTGGGAGCTTCTGACCACTTCTAACCAGATGTCTGGCTAACTCAAAGAGGGGTAGGCCCCATATGATCCAGATCAGTGAGCATTATCAGTACAGTAAAAAAAAAAGGTCCATGTCTTAATTTGGTTAATTCTACAGCTTTTGCATGAACTATTCAATGGAGACAAGAGGTGAGCTGTCTTAATAAAGAAATACACACTGCACTACTTTGCTATGGGACAAGACTTCCTTTGAGCGAAGATCTGTGTCCTTAAGCAGTCCCCATTGCACAGTGGTAAGACACTCACCCCGCACTTCACGAGCGATTTGGCCTGGGTTCATATCCTGGCTGGGGAAGATTGACCTGGCACCAATCCTTAACTGCATGTCTCTGTTCACCCAGCAGTGAACCAGGGAACCTGGTTGTTAAACCAATTGGTAGGTCATATTCCAGGGAAAATTAAGATTAAGGACCTGCCTGAAACACTGTGTGTGCTAGTGGCTTTACAAGAATGTAAGAATTCTTGTATATATAAATAAATCAAAAAAAATTAAGTGTACGATGAGTTAATTAAACCTCTCTTTCCTAGACCATTTGTGCTATAATGCTGCCATCGTATGGCACTCTGAGTAGTTGTTCAGTTGTTATTGTTCATCTGAATGTTTTATTGTAAATCCATAGTGAGTTTTGACAATTTTTCAGTCCTTAAGATTTTGTCGGAAAATTTTGAATGATCTGAAGGGTCTGCCAGTGAATGTTTACCTCATTAACACATTGAGAGATGCTCCTGTTAGGGTTCCTGCACCCTTTATGCTATACTAGACTATATGAAAAGATATTTGCCATGGTTGGGCGAGAGCCACTCGGGGCCTCGCAGTTAGTGTCTGATTCTAAAGTCCAGTGTAAAAGGCTAGAGAAGCTACAGAGGCACATTTGCTTAGAAAGAAACAGGAATACTAACAGCTTCCTTAAATAACATCCTTTGAAACACATTACAACTCTGAGAGGATATATCAGTTACAGACAGCTATAAAAGATCAGCATCTAGCATTAGTCTACCTTACTCAAAAAGCTACAGTATTAGTACAAACAATAAAACTTTCTTACTTTTCCATGAGGAGGGCAAGTGAAGGAATACTTGATAATTTCTGCCACTGTTGGGTGCTCTGGAAGCTCTTGATGACTCCTCAAGAAAGACTTGCAACAACCACACAAGATCAATCTTTGTGAATTTTTTGCATGCGAGTTCTCACTCTCAGGAAGTTTCTTTTCATCAGATTCCTTGTCCCAGCCTTGAGGATTCTCTTCTATTATTGTTGAGCCTAAAAGGTAATAAAGACAAATTTCAAATAATGATAAAGAAGATACTGTATTCACTTCACATTATGCCTAACACCATCTACACTTCTTATCACTGAATCCACTGTAGAGTCCCATGTTTTAAGAAAGCAACTTTATGTGGAATCTTCCCAAGATATTTCAGCTACCTTTAGATATGAAAGTCATCTGGTTTATCACAAAAGTTTGACAAGAATAGTAACTACCTCAGCAAGTGTGCGTAAGTGGGAATATTTGTTGAGAGGCGGGATTAAAAAACAAACAAAAAAACACTTGGTTTGAGTTTAATGGAAAGCACTTCTCAGCTGATTATTGAGCCACTCACTAAGTTATGAACCGTTGTATTTATTGGACAGCATTGTGCAGCCAACCAGGATGACAATCTGTACCGGTGCCAGAGGTAGCTTTACAAGCTCTCCCTAAAGGATCATTTAACCTTTAAAATGTGATTATCTTAAGTTCAATTATGGAACAATGCATTTATCATATGTTAATTTAAACTATTATTGCCTGGGTCTTACACCAATGATGCAGATATAAATGTATTAGATTTAGATGGAGGTAGAGGAATTTTACCTTAACCTATAAAAAAGTCTTGTTATAGTTACATGATTAACTTGCAAATAAACCTCATTTAACATCACTTTGTTTTCATGCAGAACGGAAATCCGCTTGTTCCGCTTGCAGAACGAAGCGGAAGTGACATCCACCTCGAAAGCAAGCTGAAGCGGCTTCACCAACACTGCATGATACGAAGCGAAAGTATTCAGCACGAGATGCTGGTCAAGAAAAAGCCAAGAAAGAAAAGGCAAAACAACCGGAACTGACAACAACGAAACTCTATGAAGGGAAGGCAAGTGGTGGTAGGACCTCCAAAAGACTGCATACTGTCGCTGAAAAGACAACCGCAGACAGGACACCATTAGAGAAGCCACCTGATCACCATACAAATGGCGATAAACCTGCATCAGAAAAACCAGACACAAAACATGGAAGAGTGAGCCAAACCAGCAAGGTACCTCACCGGTCCGACCTGCTGAAAGAGGCGGAGCTACGGAAAACCCTTGAGTTTGGTTACAATGCAAGCAGCGTCTGAAATCAAGGCTGGGCCGGCCACCTTGGGGCCAGAACCACTCCCCTGGAAAGATTTGAGCTGTGTCAGAACCTGAAGCAACAGCTGGACCAGGGGATGAAGGTACAGGAACCTCCACCTCAACCAGTCCTGCTGGAAAGCGTCCACCGTGAACGCCTTGCAGTCGGTGAACACCGCCTTATAAATTGGAAGGCGCCGGGACCAAGCCGACACGAGGCTTGGGCTCCCGGAAGTGGACCAAGGGTCCACTTCCAGGAGCCCAAACGTCCAACAAAGTCAAAGGATGGAGCTGGCTTCGACCATCCACTCCATGGAAAGAGGAATGAAGAGAGACAGGGAGGCAAAAAACAGAAACCGCTTCCCAGGGTATCAGGGCAAACAGCAAGGCAGCCAAAACCAGAACACCAGCCGAAGGCCCCCTGAAAGCCAATCCGGGGACAGCTCATGAAGATCAAAGAAGCGCAAGACAGAAGTCAAATGACCCCGAGTTTGATGGTCATCTGCCACCAAAGCAGCTGAAAGAAAGGGAACATGAGCATGTAACTGCTCCAGACCGACATCACGGGAAAATGCAGAGGTGAAGAGGCACTCTCTCAGGAACTAAAATGAGCCCCCCCCCCTCCCAAAGGCCTGCAACACCGAAGAAACCTCTCGCCACTGAAGTGTGAGAGTCCGGCCAAACCCACTCCCAAAGAAAAGTTAAGGGCTGTCTGCCAGTCAGGAAGACTCCGGAACAAAATGGGGAAGAAGAACCAAACTCAAAAGAAGCCGTATCCATTACCGAAGCGTAAACAAGGTCTCGCATGAGGTACGCACCAAGGGCTCCCGAGCCTCCGCAAAGGAAATTCGAGAGGAAGGAAATCTCCAGAAAGAAGTGTCTGAGGAACCCAAAGGCACCCGGAAACGAACCAGGGGTGGGTAGCCACACCTAATTCAAAATCGTATAGGGACGGAGGATATGAAAACCCCCGGCCCTACAACAACAAACCCTGCTTAAAAGGCACAGGAACGATCAAAAGGGGCCCAAGCACTCGAGCAGACTCCCCCCTCCCCTCCCAAGCCCAGGGCAGAGCCCATTTACACCCCCACCACCCTTGAAGAAAAGGCAGAGTCCAAGGGAAAAGCTTCAAAGAGAGGAGTCTTCTGGGCTGACTCCAAAGCTTTGGCAGGGAATTTGGACTCAACCTCTGTTCTCGAGTCAGAAGGAGCAACCCCCGAAACCACCGGAGCCTCATCCCAAGCTAAATTCTGCCCAGGACCGGAAACCCTCAGACATTTAGGAGCTGGGAGCAGGGCAAATAACACCCGCCTGGGAAGGAAGCAAGGGCACGGACGGATCATCCATCCATTACACTGATTAAGAATTACCAATCAAATTAAGATTAAGAGACAGAACAATGGTTGTGCAGTGGTAACACACTCTACACTTCATGAGCAATTTGGCCTAGGTTCATATCCTGGCCAGGGAGGATTGACTAGGCGCCAATCCTCAACTGGATGCCTCTCTTCACCCACCAGTTATTGGGTACCTGGTTGTTAAATGATTGGTGGGACATATTCCAAGGAAACTAGGGGGGGGGGGGGGGTAAGGCTTACCATGAGCTATGGGATGGGAAAGCTGTCAACCTGCTAACAGGAGTCAGCAGTCTCCTGTTAACAACCCTTCCTCAAAGACAACTTGACAAATACCACGAGGTTTGGCAAATACATTTTAAATAATATTACCAATAGGCAGTGTTCCAGCATCACTATAGGTGCCTCTGCGGCTGTCTGTAGCTAGAGATCCATAAGTATCCATTATTGATCCATCTGTGCTGGCTCCACGACTGTGACACACGTCCCGACCTAAAATTTAGACAACACGTAAATAATTCTTATAGGAAATCTCTTAGATTACTTTATCACAGTATAAAGTGCACCTTCCAAAATCTAAATCAATATATAACTGCTCCCTCTGGCCAACAGACCAAATCCCCCCACTAGATTTCCTGTCGCGAATCCTGACTATTAAGTAATTTCCATATCATGTTTGTTTCCGATTCATGATTTTCTTACGCACTCTCTCATTTAGTGTAGGTCAGTAGAAGAGCCAGTAAAGTCATGAATGTGGGAAGATCAATGGGTTAGGTTTGACAAAGATCATGTAACTGATTTCCATTCTGAGAGTGAGGAGTTTTACTCAATCAGAACTGAACATTGGTCCATAGCTCCATTAAGAGTGAAGTGTTTTTACAGGGTTAATACACAAATATCTTAGAAAATCACTACTGAAAGAAACAGTTTCTTTCAGGCTTTGAGAAAGTTAATAAGCCCATTTTGGAGAAAATTATATGGCTTGTTTTTATTTTAGAAGTGGCAAGTTTCAATACATTTTAATCAGTGGTGCCAGAAGTATAACTTAGAAAATGCTTACAAGTCCATATCTCCTTAATTATTTATTGGAATGGGTTCCAAAGATATTTCATAACAAAATATGAGGTAAGAGTTTCAGGCATGAGAAAAACTGATGAACCTAGTTAATTTAAACCATTTGAGGGTCATGGAAAAATAATATTTAGGGATAGGGGTGCAGGAAATACTGGGATGAGGGGTCTAGAGCCAACCCTTCCTCTTAAAATTACGTCGCTTTTTGCTCGTTTGTCAATACAGTATGGCCAAAAATGGACACAATTTGAAATAAAATAGGTTCACCAAAGTGACGTACTGTCCCATTTTCTGGTTTGAATCCTCTGGCTTACTCGATTAGGCTAGCAGAGAAACTGTCAATTAATGGTTTCATGACATTTGAACCCTTAGGAGAACTTCCTGCCCTCCTAACCTACCAGAGGACCCTAAACTTGCTGTTTTGGAAAAAAAAAATCAAAATTTATTTTCAATTATTTTTTATTCTCAAATTTCGTCAATTTTTGACCATACAGGCAAATGACCAAGTTCAAATGTAATTTGTAAGAGGACAGGTTACTGGAGCATACTTAGTCTACAGTAATCCTTTACGGTCAGGTTTCTCATACTGTATAAGATATCCATCAAATAGATTGAAATTAAAATTTTATAAACATTGAATGTAAAGAAATACCCTTTTTGGTGGGTCCTAAGTAGCTAACTTAAGCACTGGTAGTATCAAGTCTCAGGATATTGCACCAGGTGAGGAAAACCCAGCAGAAAAGATGGGCATAACAACCCACGAGGCTACTTCAAATAAATCTGTAAATCGAAGGTAAAGAAAGAAAACGATCATTACTGCACGGTAAATAACCTAACTAATGCACACAGCTGCCACCAGATGGTTGCCAAGATGCCCAGGATCCCTGCTAACCTGCCACCTCGCTCATGAGCTGCCCATGCAGAAGCTCCAACACCCCACAGTTTAGAAGGCATCAGAACTGGTGAGCTCTGAATAGGGAGCTACTCTGAACCCACCAGAAAAGTGTTTCATTTCATTCAATGCTTCATTTCTAGGAGGACCCTCTCTATAGCTCCCCCAGTATCCATCAAGGATACTGCATCAAGGATACTTTGGCATCCACAAGGATGCCAAAGCCCTGATTAGAGCCATGGGCAGAACAAAGAAAGCTAACAAAGCAGCAAATGCATGAGGGTAAAAATGGACCCCCAGCTGGTCATACCAAGCCATTCTCCAGAGGAAAACAAACTGACCCAAGACTGGGGCCAAGCCAATATCCCTTAACTGATTAAAATTTGTCCATAAAAGAAAACACCACCCCTGGATAGGCAGAGCCCCATCCCATCTGTTTCCAGCTGACAGACTGGAAACAGTTTAGTTGCAAACAAAATCCCAGAAAAGGCACCAGGAATCCATGGTGGAAAATAACTGGTTGTATGTACTGGAAACCAAAGACCCAGAACCCTAAAAACTGAACAATGGACCCAAAGATTGGAAACCATGGCCTGGACCTAAATGGGCCAAGTCCTAGAACCAAAGCCCTACCAATTTGGAGCACCATGCCTGGAATGAAAAGGATGCAGTGCCCACAGAGCAATGGGCACACTACAAATGCAGTCCAACTCAAAATGCCCACATAACACAGAAAAGCCGAGGGTAAATACGTACTAGCGTAGATCAGGTCAAGGAGCCCAGAGAAGCTGGGAAAACACCTAAAATCCACAGGCAACAAGGCACTGGTGCCACAATGAGGCATGTAAAACATCAAAGATGATTGGGTGAGAAAAAACACAAACCAGGCACCAAACATCCAACTGAAATGCAAATCTGTGATGCAGGAGTAGCAAAAAGGCATGCAATCACTATAGCTAAGAAAACCACCTCTTTCCTGGGGCCAAGGCAAAGCAACCAAGCTCGGAGCTGCAAAGACAAATGTCAGAAAAACCTTGAAGCCAGCGCAAAGCAACTGGCAACTGGAAAAAAAACCTGCACCAAGGCATCAGGAACATTGTGCGGAAACCCATGAAAAGCTAGATGAGAAGTGAAACATTGACAACAGATGAGCTATGGAATACCACCTCACTTTCATCTCAGATTTACCTGTAGAAACACAGGATAAGTCAAAGAAAGAGGAAAGCATGTAAGCAACCAAGTGGCTTATCCAGTAGGGAGCTTTTCATCTACACTCAAAATCTCATTTCCTTGGATAAGAATCCTGTAGGCCAATGCGACCAAAGAATGAAATTCAGAATGGAAGGCTTACCTGAAAAGCAGAGTGAAGCCAAAAGGGGCTGCAGAGTACATTAGCAATGGTGCCCTAGAGGTCCAACCACCCTACCTGAAAGACAGCCACAAATGTTTGTTGATACCTAGACGAAAGAAAACAAACTACCTGGAATCTGAGAAAAACACTACCAGGCACCAACAAAACAGTAACAGATGAAAAACAAATCCACACCAAATTACCAAACAAAAGCACCAATGATGTCCATCTGAGAAGACAGGAAAGCAGAGGGGAGACATTTGTGCTCAAAAGAATCTACAGCAAAAAGCCCAATGTCAAAGTCCTGCATTTAAGGCAAAGAAAATAGCAGGGTGTTAAAGCTACATGGCCCTGGCCTCACAAAGACACCAGTGTTGGGAGTAAGTCATCTGGTGGCTGGTAGTTTAGTCAGGATCACCAGCGGTAATGAATGTTACCACATCCCGCCACTCTGCCTTGCTGCCCAGGAGTCTTCAGATTAAGTAAGGAAGTACAAAACCAGAATGTTTCACCCTTCACCTCATTTGTATATTATTCTTTATATTGATGGTATATTCAACTTAAGATTAAATAATTGTAATTAATGCTTCATGTTTATTGTGTGAAGTTATGCTAAAGGATAGGAGGTCTACAAGGCTATTTGTTTATATAATAATTGCTATTATATGCAACAGATGGCGCTGTTTTTCAAAAACGCATGTTTTTACGGGGTGGCATCTATATAGTAGGTACAATATATAAAAAGACGCGCCTATTCTAATGCAACATTGTGTCAAAAATTCAAAGCAATCGGTAAAGAGGTTTCGAAGATTTCCCTCACATGAAAAACACAAGAAAAACAGTTTTTCAGAAAACGCACATTTTTTACCATCACAGACGTGACATCTATATAGTACATATATAAAAACCTGCTCGGATGTGAATGGAATGTTGTGAGAAAATTTCAAAGCAATCATTGAAGAACTTTCGGAGATTAGCGGTTATGCACAAATGAACATTTCCATTTATATAGATTATTATTATTATTATTAAAATATTATTATTATGGTTCCAGGAGTCCCTATGTCCCCACAGTTCAATTTCTGACCAGAACTCCAAGTTGATGGTTGAAATTAAATGGGAGGATTTGTAAAATTATTTGTAATAGACAAAAGAATTTTGACTTGTTTATTTATGTTTTTATAAACTATATGGTACGTACACACAATCCTTATGGTGATCATCAGATAACCTTAAAACTGATTCATTTCTAACCCAAGAGATATTAAGATGCACTGCTACTGATAAAATGATAAGGAAAGCCGTGCACACTACTTGTTTATAAACTGTGAATATCAAATAATAATAATAATACTGATTGGGATTTCTCACAGGTAAATAATTAGAAATTTATAAATTATTGGACATTAGAAAATGCAGACTAATAATCAACCTAATTTTATCTTGTATAGGCCAGTTCTTGCAACAATTAAATACTACTTAACCGAGTCAATGACCAAAGACAACAAATGACTGCACTAAATCAGTGAATGATACTGTATTGTTATCTCTCTCACAGCACTGCTTAATCCCTGGCACCAAGCCTGTTCACATTCTGTCAGCTACTACCAAGTACTGGCCTTCCTTATACCAAGGAATGGCAGCATTTTTATCTTATCAGTGATACTGTATCTCATCTTTTGAACCATCTCATTACTAAACCACATTAATTACCTGCATGTGTCGGAAATTTCCGACAGCCCAAGTATTAAATACTGGCATTATATGATAAATATGTTATGCCTAGATATTAATGCTACTAACCCCCAGCATTATACGATAAATACGTTATGCCGAAAATACTGTTACTAACCCCTAGCATTATACGTTAGAATGTGTTATGACAATATTGTTTCACCAATTCCTAGCACAGCAAGCAATACATCGTTGTGTTAAGAAATTAAAATTACTGATAATATTCGCATCCAGAGAAACGCCAAAAGTTTCTTACGGTCAATGGCGGACGGTTGCGTCAGCCAGCCGGCAACAGGTGTTGACGAATCTTATCTAACCTTCATTAAACTTAAGCTGCGTGTTGATTCTATTAACCTTTGCTATTTCAATTAGGAATAGATTAGAATTACCAAGAATAAGGGTGTATTTCCATCCCCAGTAAATGTTTGCCTCAGTGAAATAACAGTCAGAAATAAAGTCACGGTTCGTAAATCATGCAAACTCTATGATTCAGTGTTAAGAACAAAGGACATTGTTCTTTGGATTTTATAATTAATTATTGGAGTGAAAATTGACGTTAACTTAAACCAGTCCTTGAATAACTTAAAGTAAATAGAGTGACTTATTTACTGGCACGCACCGCGAAGCTCATAGTAAGGAAGGGAAGAGAAGCCAGCAGTGGCAAGAGATCCCCACACGTGAGCACGCGACAACACGCTCTCCATCTGATCCCACCAGAGCCAGCCGTTATCATCGTCCAATATTGGGAACATCCGTCCCCATAGACCTCCCAGACGTTGATGCTAGCTCCACACATCACTACACAGTGTATCCGGTCGGTATACAACTCTATATTAGGCAAAGGTGGCCACATAACCTGGATAGGAGATTAACCAACCGGTTATGCTCTAGGGGATCTAAAATAACAGTGTAGGTTAAACTGCAGGGTTATTTCTTTAATGGAACTTTATCAGGTAAATGTTAGTGCTACATGAGCTATAGTGTATTAATTCCACTGAGTGGTGATCAACAACTGGGTCCAGCCGAGTGGTTTACAAGTTCAAGTATGTTTACTGAGGAAAAAATACATCTCAAAGGGATAGAGTAGCTTAGGCTATTTTCGGATTTACAGGTTTCAAGTGGACGCGAGGCTTCCTCCCACGAGGCGATGATATACACCATTCACGAGAGCTTCGTCTGATGACCCCTACCCAAATCAGCTTTTCAGCTAAGATTTCTGTTTCCATCTAACTTACGTATTAGATCACCAACCCTATGACTATTATTGATTAGTTATTGTTGAGGTTATAAAAACACTTAATATTATTAACAGGTGGATTCAGCATTATAGGATTAACCCACCATTCTTGTGTGCATAGGAAGGTTACAAATGAATATTAATTAAACATACAGTCCACTTTAACACAGTCCACTTTAACATACAGTCCGCTTTAACATACAGTCCGCTTAACTTCAAATAACTTAAATAAACAAATCAAATTCTAGGAATTTCCCACAGCATGCAACACAGCTGAACTTAATAGATTACGTACATGATATGCGGGCAACAGATGGTTCACAGGAGGAAACTTGGCTGGTGCCTCGACTGTGGCACATGCGAGGACCCCCAGTAACACAGTTGCTAGTGGCTGCAATATCCCCATCTCCAACACTGATAGGCCCAGACTTAGCATCTGTTGCGTCCCCTGTTTATAACAAACTGTGTGTAAGTCTGTGAGAACACAATTTAATTTGATATACTGTATATAGTAGTCAATTATATAATTTAATGATTATCAAGGACTTCCCTACATGTTCATCAATCATAAACTAGAATGACAATTGTTGTGCTACAAATAATGTAACTACACTGAGAAATAATAATAATAATTGAATTACAGTACTATATGATAAATTTAATTCAAATTAATATTACAGACTTTAGCATTTTGCATTTATCAGATGGAGCAGGAAAAACACTAATCATAAAATGCCTCTTCTGAGCTATTTCACTTTCATGTTTCCCTAAGCAAGATCACTGAAGGTCCCTGCGGACAGGATCATAACAGTCAGGGCACTTTAGGTTAGTATTGGTGGAGATAGCTTGAGTTTTAATGATGCTTTCACCTGTTGGTTGTATGGGTTAGAAATTGGTGTGTGTTATGATTGCATGTTGGTATAATAAATGCCAACCACTGGCTGTCATGGGACATGACATGAGTCGGGCTCTGAAAGATTTGTTCATGTAAACAACCATTTTTGAAAAACTGGATGGTAATTACTTCTGACTGGATTGATTTGGAATAAAGTCACTTCAAAGCCCTTTAAAATGGTCCTGAAAGGATGCCCTAACCCATTTTTTTATCTTTGCTAAAGAAATTCATCCAAAGTGTCTAATAATTCTACGATTTCTCAGTCAATCTTATAATACAGTTGGCTTCATTCTCGACTCACAATCAGGGATTCTGGGTGCGACTCCCGAGCGGGATAGAAATGGTTTGGCACATTTCTTGTCACCAAATGCCTCTGACCACCTAGCAACAAATAAGTACCCAGGAGTTAAATAACTGTTGTGGGGTTGTATCTTGGGGAAGGTCAGTAATTTGATCTTAGGGGGAACCTCAATACAAGCCTAGAGTATATAAGTAGACAGGCTGCCTGTCAACAACAACAACATTAATTCTAAATTAATCTGAGAGTGGCAGAATACAAGAAACATAAAACCATAGGTTAGCCCCTATTTATAAAAACAGAATATGCAATGATTATATGCACATTTGCAGTTGATAGAATAATTAATACCATTTCACACAAAACATCCAACCTTTTTCAATAATATTTGTTTGTACGTTAGTCTCCTCTGCAGAACTTGGCACAAGAGAGGACGGAGGAACATCTGGCACTTGTGGCTCAGGTGTGTGGGTCAGTGCAGTCTCAACAGCACCTGGGACTAGAAAGATTTTTGTTCTGAATGTGCAGATACAGTAATTTATGGTTACTACAAATATATGCATATTATAAAAGTGAAATTTGTAGATGTTGGTAAACAAGATAATTACAAAGACTTCAATCAAAATCAATCTTGATAATAGAAAACACTGAATGTGATTAAAAGAACGCATTCAATTTGTGTGTGCAGGAGAAAAATATATATACTGTATATATATAATGATTGCAGAAAGTAAAAAGTATTTTGAGAGAGAAAAGGCCATTTTGAAGCAGAAAAAGGGCATTTTGAGGAAGAAAGAGGGACATTTTGAGGCTGAAAAAGAGCGTTTTGTCACAGGGGGGTGTTTTGTCGCAGGGAAGGGGTGTTTTGTCGCAGGGAAGGGGTGTTTTGTCCCAGGGAAGGGCATTTTGTCGCAGGGAAGGGCATTTTGTCGTAGAAAGGATGTTTTGTTGCAGGGAAGGATGATTTTTCAGAAGGAAGGAGATTCAATTGCAGGTAAGGGCATTTTGTGTCAGTCATTTTATAGACCGACTTGGTTGCCTCAACAGGCTGATTAAATATAAGGATACTGGTAGTGTAGCTTTCAACTGTTAGTATCTTCGTTTACTATCAATACACAATACTGTTCTTTGTTTCATAAATATTTACCTTAAATTAGAGATGAACTAATATTTTGAAGGTTACTACAGGCCAGCAAATATGATAAATAAGATGACCAGACCACACACTAGAAGTTGAAGGGACGACGACGTTTCGGTCCGTCCTGGACCATTCTCAAGTCGATCGACTTGAGAATGGTCCAAGACAGACCGAAACGTCGTCGTCCCTTCAACTTCTAGTGTGTGGTCTGGTCAACTTACTTCAGCCACGTTATTGTGACTCATCGCCTGCACATGATAAATAAGAATTTCTAATAAGCCTTTATTTTCATCAAAAGGCTATAAACATGTTGGATAAAGATTTGGGTGTTGTTGCATACTATTATTTAGTAACAGGACCATTAGAAACTGGCCCACTAGACACGACAGGGCTGATCTCATCAAAACGTTTAAAACTTCTTTAAGAGGGGAGATGTAACACATATAAAGAGTAACAGCTTTAAAATTAACAAGACACAATGTAGGACCGAAAACAGGAGATGCTTTTTCAACCATAGAGTTATAAAACCATGGAACCATCTACCTACCAAAGTCATAAATGTCAAAATCCTGCTACAACTTAAAATCCAGCTGAATAAAATCATCAGGGCAAATGTGGTGTCTTACGACAAGCCTTTGGCTTCTTGTCAAAGGACCTCCCCTATTTCAATCTTAACATTAGCAGCCTCGATCAGACCGCTATCGAGATTGTGGCCCTCAGGTAAATTGAGGATAAAAACCAATCACTGTTATTTGTTCAATTGTGATTACATTATTCAGTACAACAAATAGTGCCATTCTCCAGGGACCTGTACTCATGAAGTGTGCAATACCCAATAAGCAAACATCTTATGGGGGTATTACATACCCCATACAGTATGCACAATTGCAAGGCTATGCAAGGATTTTTTTAAACAATATTTGGGGCAGGAGGGGACGATCAAACCAGCATTTTGGGTCACCCAGATGCACCCCTTTACCCATTGACCATGATATGCTAAAAGTTACACAACCTGGAGTTTGCCCCAAACCCAGCTCGGAGGCGGCACCAAGCTGGTGACCAACCCAATCCTGCTTCAAAGATGTTCTCATGGATATATCACATTATTGTGATTACATTGTGTATTTGATGGGAGTGCTTGATGGAGAGCTTCATTACCTAGACCAGTGTGTATACTGACTGTAAAACTTGGATTGGGTGCCAGCTTGGTGCCTCCAAATTCCTAGTGGGTTTGGGCAGACTCCAGGATGTTAAAGTTTTTAACATATCGTGCTCCATGGGTTAAAGTGTGCCTGTGCAGCCCGTCCTCCAAAAATGGGGAGGTAAATGTAACAGCCCTATAAGTGCAATTATGTACTATGTATGACAGTCAGGAATTGTACTTATTTACACTTAGTATTAAATCGTACTGTCAAATATATTGTGAATATTTGAGTTTACCTGAAAAACTGAATAGAAAACCACGACCTACCATAACCATCTTAGTTTTTGAAGATAAGCATTTTATTGCTTCTTAATTACAATTACTACTTAATGCAAGCTATATTGATATTACAGTTTTATAAAACAAATAAAACAAAACTAAAATATTTAAATAAATTGTAAAGTAACTCAAGATCTCTATCATGAGGTTATCTTGAGACAATTTCGGGGCTTTAGTGTCCCCGCGGCCTGGTCCGCGGGGAAATAATAACTGTCAATAACTTCAACTTCAATTATATCTATAACTAGAATTTCAACTTTGAGGCAGATAAAAAAAATCCAGTTTCTGACCGATTCTCACCATTTTTACATATAGTGTGCACAGCTGTCTTTCTACAATCCCTATAAAATGGATTTTTCATAAACCATAAACATTTAGTTATAATTTTTTTTGTCTAAATTTGCCGCATATTTCAAATGCCATAGACAATTTTTTTTCCAGTAAACTATAATGAAAACCTATATTCTAATTTGATATAATCATATGTAGATCACATGCTATTCTGAGAGCATAATAACACCAAATGAACAATTGGTGATCTTTTATATTTTTAATCTGATTTGAAAATTTGAAGTTTTCAATATTAAATTTTTTAATTATTTGTTATTTTATTGTTTTCAAGTTACGTTGGTGATCTTTTAGACAAACTTAGAGAATTTGCCTAGTTGATTATGTACAAATTTTTTTTAAGTGTTTGTGCAAGTTTGAGAAACTGATGTTATGTCCAATCATATACTGTATGTACGTTTTGCACCGTTTAAGGGTTAAGTAATATTTGAATGACATTAAACATCATTCTAGGTCAAATATTTAGCTCAACCCTTAGAAAGGTAATTACTTAGTCTAAGCATTTTTTAGAAACAAAGAACCTAACATTAACTCTTAATACTAACAATAATTTATCTTTATTTAAAAAATATACAGAAGAACAAGGTACAGTAGTTGAATAGTTGTTACATAAAATAAATATATTTATTAAAGCCACTAGATAATAACAAACATTTGAATAAAGTCATCAACTAATGCAAGAAGGCCAAAATATGTAATATACATTCACTGAATAAAAAAGGTTTGACTAACTTGAGATGACTGAAGACTGATGACTGTCATCGTGACAATCTACCAGCTGCAGCGCATGGTTATCTTTGGCACGATGGTCATCTGATGTGTCATGGGTAAACAGTGGGTCCTTCGTGTCAGAAATTCCTGCCATCTTCTATATAGTATTATTACTTGCTATAGCTCCAGCTCATTTGGAACTTTATTACATCACAGTCATCTGGAAATACACCAGTGAGAATTTAGTTTAGATTCTTAGGATTAAGAGTGGTAATTATGAAATAATGTCACAATGACATATGATATACAAAATCTAGATAGCCCCTGATACTAGGTACATGCTGCAAATATAAAGTACAATATTAGTGCAAAAGAGCTATAGAAATCCATTTACAAGTCATATTGTGCAAGATCATCATTACATGTACAATAACCTCTCACTCAACTCCTTAAATTAATTAAAGCAAAGTATGAGTATCTATGAATGCTAATCACCACAGAGAAGTGGAGTAGATGGCCAAGATGGAGTGTACGACACCCAACAAAGAAGGGAGGACCAAATTCAGTGAAGACATTGTGTGACCAAGAACAAAGCCCAGGCATCTTAAGTACAAGCCCGCCAAAAGGTGCTTAGACATCCCCCACCACACCCTTATTTTGGCTTACAGGTATAACAAAAGGCCTAGTAGGAGGAGGCTCATTAATCACCATCCTTGGACACCAGCCCCCTATGCCATTGTGCAAAAGACAAAAGGGTGATGATAACAATTCAATCTCACCTGAATGACACATACACTGGAACCCATATTCTGTCTAGTAGTAGCTTGAGACAAATAAAACTAGTGCCACCCCTGAGAAATTGCAGCAATTCCCAACTTTAGCTTGAGAACCTGGTCTAACAGCTGAAAGAATGCACCAGTTGATGCTAAAACAAATGCCACCTCCTCCTCCTCTGGAAAGAGGAGACAGACTGAAGAAACGAATAGTAAGGAAAGCAACCAAGCGGGCTACTACTGGAAGTACCCAAAACTGCTTGCCAGCAGGCTTGGCAAATAGCTTGACAACCCACAGAAGCAGAATGAATAGCTTGTTCAAACTGTTTGAAATAATCTACACAAACATCAAAAGCATAGAAAAAAGCTGAGGGAGCCACACTCTCTGACTGCAATTGCTTTAATAATTAAACTAGAAAACAAGTCAAAACCAAAAATAAAGCACAGAGTACAGGTAAAATGAAATGCTCTTTTCTGGGTATCACCTCAGTAGCTTTCCTGAACTTATGCACTGGCTGATCCAAGTCCGAGAAGCTAATGCCAGGTAAAGGTGAGAGACTTGCTGCCTATCAAGGCAGGGAGCACAAGATGAGCAAATATCAACAAAATAGGGTACAAAGCCCTTAAAGGAAAGGAGAGAGACTGCAGGCACCCAAATCTCAAGGCTTTTCTGAGTTCATACCTAGGTTCTCTCTCTTTTCCATATTTAGAAGTTCCTACATCTAAATACTGTAGAAAAATAATAAAATTAATCAAATATAACATCCTACATTTGAAGATCCTAAAATACATTTCTTACAGTTTTTTCAAGAAGCATACACATTAACATAATAAACAAAACTTCCCAAATGAATTTATATTCTTTTTTAAGAGTTCATATTTCAGTATGTAATACAATATATTTTACATGTTCTGACATTTCTTTGTATTGTTTTATCCATTGCTACAGTTTAATCCAAGGCTTGAGTGTTTTTGCTTATAAGTGGCAGAATGCCCATTACACAAAGTTGCTCTTATATATTAATGTACATTTTAAAGTGTAAAATAGTATAAATTATTATTAACTTTATTGCAGTTTGGAGCACCAAAAATATTTAGTTAGAAATACAAGTCCATAATGAGGGATGGGGGCCATGTTCACACATTGATCTTATACAAGAATTATTTATTATTATTTATAATTATCATTATTAAATTATTAAATTAATTATTATCATAATTTATATTTTATTATTCATAAATACAGTATACTAATATGTACTAATATTAAGCAAATAAAAAAAATACAGGTAAAGACCAAAACAGTGGGAATGCTTCACACAACATATAAAGGAGTGAATGTGTATGTAGACAGGCATTGTGCAGGGGTAATTACCACGAGCCACCCACCTGACTACTGATAAGTGGATAAGATATACAGCATGTAGACGTACTCAACTGTAGTATTCTTACTAAACCTTATGGAGTGATGCCCTCATTAAGACTACTGAGCAGCTGACTATCCTCAGCAATGTATATTCTATTAAATGTTACCAGTATAACATTTGTGTGTGAATAACTTTTAAGTTCAATTTTAACCATTATTTTTGCACCCACATCCAACACTTGTCAGCCAACACAATGGAATCCTGCCACAACACCTAATAAATCAAGAGTTCTGAATTTGAACTCAAGACTCAGTCACATCGAATAATTTTTCTGTACATTTTATTTTGTAAATGTCTTCTGACACCGACACAAGTATGCAAAGAATGAACACTCAACAACATACTTGAAGCTTCATGGGTTGCTTTGAGACAGAATTAATAATAATCATTCCTTAGGAAGTGCTTCTGCACATATTCTAGAGTAACTCAAATTTCCTACAAACCAAAAATGTTGGATAAACAAATATATATAGTATTATTCATAAAATTAATTTATTTAAAATATAAACAAGCAGGTACAGTACAATGTATTGTAAAAGTACATATATTTTAGCAATTAAATGGTACAATTTTGGAATGCAACTAGTATGCATTGCGTACTGAGACAAGTGCCAACTACGACTCCCAATGAATCTGACGACCTTGAGATATTTTTTTTTTTTTTTTAGTTTAGTTCATTTATTATGCACCCCATACCCATCTTGTGGGCGGTAGTGGAAAGGGTTACAGAGGCACATAATGGGCTCATCTCATGTTGGCCTCCGAATGCATGATAGAGCTGATAAGTTAGCGAAAGAATCTTGAGATTTAATAGTAAAAAATTTAATTTTTGAGAAGCATTCCCAAGCAATATAATAAATAATAAATAAATGTTTATTCAGGTAAAGTACATACATACAAGAGGTTATACAAAAATTGATAGATTTATAAATAGAGCTAGTACATACAATGCCTAAAGCCACTATTATGCAAAGCGTTTCAGGCAGACACTAAAAATAAAAATAACTAAATAAAAATAAATAAAAAAAAACACTAAAAACAGTATAAAACAGGCTGTATAGCAAACAAGTACACTATAGCACTACAAGCAATATAAAAATAAAACGGGTACAGCACTACAAGTCATACAACACTACAAATAAAGGTTACAGCACTTAGTTTAACAAGTAGTCTACAAGCGAGGTAAACACAGGCACCCAGAGACACGGGGGTACCGGTCCAACCAGCACCGTAAACAAGGCTAATTACCCACTGAACATCCTCGAGACGTCAGTACCTGTTCACCTGTGGTTCACACACCATATCCCTGACCGTAGAGGTTAATACTGCACAAAGACATAAGAGAGAGAACGCGATAAATGACTAGACGTGATCGATAGGGAATGTTGTTTAGCCTTCTCTGGCCCCTGCCGGGTCGGACGGCCACTGGTACTAAGATTTCATTTTCACTTTACAAAAATTCTTTATTCCAATTAGTTTATTCCATAACGTTACTTTTATATTTTTTAACAGTCGATGAAAAATGGATTTACGTGGGGACATGAATTTCAGTAAAAGAGAGGAATCGAAGAAGGAAATCTTGGGATCAGCAGGAAAACTTGAAACAAGAAGACATAATTGAAGGGATTCCATCTTGCAGGATACCATCCACTCTTCAGAAGCGGCAAGAGCTGGCGGTGTGATGATATACAATATATAAAAGAGGACTTGAATGAGGCCAGCAATGAGAAAATGAGCATTGCTGCTTGTTGAACCAGTGATGCTGGTTCAACAATGAACATTGAACCATAAGATAATGATAATGATCCTAAGAATCTGTATGGTTCAATTTACTTGCTTAAAATATTAGCAAATTGACAGTGGGAATATGCTACAGAGTACACACAGCAACTGCAGAGGAAGAGACAATAGATTTGGTGACTGACATAATTCATTGTATCGGGGGGGGGGGGGGGGGGGGGGGGGACAGGAAGCCAGGGTGTATTCATACACGTTTGGCTTTTATCGAGGTTTCCCCCCTCCCTCCCCCCACAAGGCCGAATTACTGACCCCGCCCAGGATGCAGCCCCACAAAAAGCTGACAAACTCCTGAGTAAATACTTACTGCTAGGTGAACACTATAGGTGAAAGGAAATGTGCCGAACCATTTCTGTCCTACCCGGGATTCGAACCCGGAATTCTTGATTGTGCGTCAAGAACGAACCCAATTGTACTACTGGGACCCCTATCACAAGTGGAAGGAGAACAATTTCTCTGGTACGAGCTTGTTTGCAGACACTTCTCCGAATTAATTAACATCGTACACCCAAAATTGTCAGGAGACAGTAGACAAATTTATCTCAGCACAAAAGGGGAAAACTAAAACTAAAATTATCCCACGATTTAATCAAGCATGTAAGGAAGCTAGGCAAGTAAATACAAAGTGATGGATGGACTACAGAGATACACAGAACACCAGAGAGCGAGACCTTGCATGTGGGGCATAACAATCCTTTGAACAAATCCTTGTCACAACTACCAAAATAACAGCATTACCTTGCAGCAGATTGATCATTCACTGAAAGTTGCGCAACAAGTGGAAGCAGACGAAAAAAAACTAAGCTCTAGGAATAATAAAGAATACCTTTACCTTAAGGAAAAGAAGGTAGTCATTCAATTGTATAAGTCTCTGGTGCGCCGCCACCTGGATAAGTGCATCCAGGCAAGGAGACATTTTCAGAAAGACAGCTGCTCTGAAGACAGTTCAACAGCGGGTGTTACGGCCTCACTTAGCTAATTTCCTTGAAGTCAAAGTTAAAGTGTTTATTCAACTTTATAAATCTCTGATGCGCCCCAATCTGGACTACTGTGTCCACACATGGAGACCTCATCTTCAAAAGGACATGTCTGCTTTGTAGAACGTTGAATACAGAACGACAAAAAATCATCCCAGAACTAAGTTGACTCATTCTGGGACCGGTTCAGGGCCACAGGACTAACAATACTGCAAACCAGACATGACAGGACTGACTTCACTGAGATTTTTAAATTACTAAACAAGTTTGAGGATATTAATACAGACCACGTTTTTTTTAGGAACAAATGTAACACACATACAAGGGGCAGCCATTTCAACCTCAACAATAAAGCCACAATGTAGGAAAGACAACAGGATAACCGTTTTCTCGTTACTTAGTTCAAAATCTAACTAGACAAAATTCTCAGGAACAATGAGGAGGTCCTTTAATAAGCCGCCGGCTTCCTGTCTCCGTCGAGACTAACAGAGATAATGGCCCCTCAGGTAAATTAGGTAAATTACATGTAAAGGGGTACAAGAACAATGGAAACATGCAAAAAGAAGTATACCCCCCCATTTCTTGGTGTATTTTTTAAATAACAAACTTAGATACACAGGAGCGTGCTCCTACCCTATTATATATATGAGGCATCTCAGAGTGTAGATCAAAAGCAAGATGCAAGTTCATCTAAAATCCACAACTGACAGATTAGTCATACATGTTATCAGAGAAACATGAAATGAGAGTCTATTCCACTAGCCTGCACTAGCAAACTTTAGGTAGAAAACTAGAATATCTTACAATATCTGTGAGTGAATGAAATAGTTACCCCGTGCCATTTGGCGGTGCTACACACAGTCTTCCCGGCTTGTCGCGTTCTTTTGACAATTACTGTACTTACTCTTGCGTTCTGGCCTAAAGCCACTGTAACACGACATTCATAAACATAGTGTTGAAGAGTGTGGCCAGGTGTGTCCACTCATACAGCTTACACCTCCAGTGCTCCAGTGTTGGGAAATTCATTACCTACAGTTACCAACAGTCTCTCACTTCACAACTGAAAATTCTGGATTCGAATCCTGAGCGGGACAGAAGTGCTTGGACGCGTTTTCTATCGCATACTGCATCTGTTCACCTAGCAGTAAGAAGGTACACAGGAGTTAATCAGCTTGCTGTGAGGTTACATCCTGGTCAGTAGTTCAACCTTGCGGGGACGTCGATATAAGCCTAGCATGTATATATACACACTGGCTGCCTGTCCCCCGACAAAATGAACTATTAATATTATTTTAAGTAATGATATCCCAGCCCAATACTGGCAATTACATTATCAATCTGTTGTATATTTTGTGCCGTTCCTACATTCAGTTTTCAGTTCTAAACATATATTCAGATCACTCTAGTGCATCTATTATGATCCCCATACCCATCCTGTGGGTGGTAGTGCACCCCATACCCATCCTGTGGGCGGTAGTGCACCCCATACCCATCCTGTGGGCGGTAGTGCACCCCATACCCATCCTGTGGGCGGTAGTGCACCCCATACCCATCCTGTGGGCGGTAGTGCACCCCATACCCATCCTGTGGGCGGTAGTGCACCCCATACCCATCCTGTGGGCGGTAGTGCACCCCATACCCATCCTGTGGGCGGTAGTGCACCCCATACCCATCCTGTGGGCGGTAGTGCACCCCCCATACCCATCCTGTGGGCGGTAGTGCACCCCATACCCATCCTGTGGGCGGTAGTGCACCCCATACCCATCCTGTGGGCGGTAGTGCACCCCATACCCATCCTGTGGGCGGTAGTGCACCCCATACCCATCCTGTGGGCGGTAGTGCACCCCATACCCATCCTGTGGGAATCGGGGTGCAAGTTTCAGTCTTGCTAAGCTAGTTACACGGTTTAATGTATATTAGTATTATATCAACAATGGGTTCGAGAACGACGTCCCATAATTCTTCATGCTGGCGCCTTCTGTCCTTTGAGCGTCAGTGATTGCTCCTCTGCCAGCCCTATAATATCTGGAAATTGTGTGGGTTTGACAAAAGAGATTGCATTACCTTGGTCTAGTTCAATTGCAGCTCTGACTGTTTTGTTGCATTATGTCATGAAGGACAGCGCTTGTTTGAGATGGTTTACATACCAAGGAAATTCTGAAATTCTTGCTCTGTGCACCAATGTTGTTTATAATGGAAGTTACAACATTCCTAGTATATATATTTTGCATGATGAGGTTTCAAATACTTGAAGTGTTGATTTTGAATCAGAGGAACTACTCCTCCTGTACGGTGTATAGACAGAGATTATGCCTTAGTCCTGGACGATGTTGAGGGTAACCTAATTATGTTTGATTATTGGCCAGTTGTTAAGCTCTTGTGATGACATAATAATCGTCCAGAGGAACTGATAAACTGATTAACCCCAACACCAAACCAAAATAGATATTCATCAACAACGAAGAGAAGAAAAGGAACAAAATGAATCCATTCTAAGGAATATTGTAAAAGAAAACGGATAGACTGGCAAGCATTGAGGAATTTATAGAACATTTCTGCCCTAAACGCTATGCGTGCTAGTGGCTTTACGCGGGCTCACCATAGCCCGTGCTGCTTGGATCTTTTAGTTCCAGGTAGCAAATCTTTAACAACAACATAGTGGCTTTACAAGAATGTAAACCTCAATTCTCTGTACTCTCATGAACCCAATGTACTGTACGTTCTTGTATATAAATACATAAATAAATGTGCCGCGCAGAATGGACAGTTCCCCATTATGGTCATGGGGGTTTAATCCCCGGATAGAACGAGACGCTTGGGCAAGTTTCCTAACAATAATGCATCTGTTCACCTTAGCAGTAAATAGTGCCTGTGGAGTTAGGTAACTGTTGTGGGCTGCATTAGTAGGATAAGTCGTCCGTTAACCATAAGGAGATGTTGGTAATGACCTCATGCCCTTCACAGTGGGGAACTACATGATGCCGTGTACAGCCACACGTGTACAACACGTGTACAGCCACGTGTACAGCACGTGTAAAACACCAGTGAGGTGTGTGACTGCCACAAGACAAGCCGGAGCTGCGGTCAAGTGGCTGGGCGCCATGGCCAGATTCACGAAGCAGTTACGCAAGCACTTTCGTACCTGTACATCTTTTCCCAATCTTTGGCGGCTTTGTTTACAATTATCAAACAGTTAATGAGCTCCGAAGCACCAGGAGGCTGTTTATAACAATAACAACAGTTGATTGACAAGTTGTCATGCTTGTAAACTGTTTAATAAATTTAACCAAAGCCGTCAAAGATTGAGGAAAGATGTACACGTTCGTAAGTGCCTGAGTAACTGCTTCGTGAATCTGAGCTCCATAACCAAGGGATGGTTGACTGTGATGGCTGACCTTCCCGCCCCTCCCACCGTCCTGGCTCCCACCAAGTCCTTTGTGCGTCAGTACACGAGCATGTACATGTGGCTGCTGTAAACCTATATATAAAGGGTCGTGTACAGATGGAGACAAGTGGGTGAACTGCTACGACAGGAGTACCACACGTACCTCCACTCTGTAGCTAGTTGCACATGCTGTAACTTGCTAGTTGCACACGCTGTAACTTGCTAGTTGCACACACTGTAACTTG